GCCCCCCCCCCCCCGTGCCTGCTAAATTTTATAGCTCAAATGTGATTAGGCGCAATTAGGAGCCAGAAACCCCATAAGAAGTATGGAAAAATAAGGGACAGCCCACACAGCCGGAGGTCGGGTGCACAGGCAGCACTTGATGAGGAGTATTTTACAGGCCAAATCGAGTCGTGTCGGGCCTTTGTCAGCATGTGTGTTCCGATGGGGCCCCAAGAACTGGAACCATTTCAAAGTCAGTAAGCATGACAGCTGGGGAAAATCTGAGCATTTCTCTAAATATTCATAAGCAGGATTCTGAAAGGCACTTACTGGGTAATCACCTGTACAGTGCCAATGCTAAGCTTGGAAGGATGTGGGAGAGGAGAAAGAAGATAGGACAAGGCTGGGGTGTGGGAAGGGGACACCAGGTCCTATCCATACCTCTATGGACCCACCTTCAGAAAGAGGCCCTCTGGAAGTTATTGCTTTATTTAACCAGTTCATTCATGATCCTTTTGGTTTCTAAGCTTAATTTACGGAACTAGCCATGCCTATATCTAACTTAAGTTTGAAGCACTCTACATAATTTTGGTCCATAGGGGTATGTTTTACAATTGTCTTTTCAGTACTGAGTTCCTTAATGCCAACATAAATTTTGTGTTTAGTGAAAGTCTAGCCACCACCATAAATGTTTACTGGTCAAATACTATGATGTGGGTGGCCTGAACCAAAGGTGTGGACTGTATTGGACCTCTAAATAGGATCAATGGCACACCCCAGGTTCCTGCAGTTATGTGAGGGGCTTTCTTTTTCTTTCTGCCTATGGTTTACAACATAACTTTCTGGAAAGCATTGGTAATAATTGGGGAAAACTTGCCAGGAATAGGTACATGATTATATCTGGCCAATGAAATGGAGCAAAAATGTAGCAAAAAGGCTTCTCTGAGAAATGGCTAGTTACACAGAAAGTGATAGAAGTGTGAGGGCAGAAACCAGGAAATGTGGAGGTCCAGGGAGGTAGAAGAGATCAAAACCATCCAAGAGGAGGAAGGAAAAGTGACACAGGGCAAACGATCTGTGAGTGATGAAGGTGTGGCCCGTGCCAAGAAGGAAAGCCAACCCTCTTCAGCTGGAGTACAGAACACAAAGGATTCCCCAGTGTGGCAGATGCAAGAAAGACTCCACTTTCAGCCCATGGCAGAAGCCATCAGCCACCTGTCAGAGAAACATGGACAATCAAGACAAAAGCTATCCAGTGAGCTGCTAGTTTGAGGCCAAGGGCCAACAGAAGCATGCAGAGATGACAGCAGGTGTCAGCACTGCTGATCCACGATGTCCAAGACTGTGCATTCCACTGCTGGGAGCTGGTACAGAGGCACATTCCCAGCCTTTTTTATCAGGATCCCCTCCTGCATCCTTAACAAGATCCCCAGAGGATTCACAGGTACAGGGATGTTGGAGAACCACGCACCTCAAGGGGTTAATATAATGGGTGCAAGGTTTCTACTTTTAAAACTTTTTTTTATGAGATTGTTCAAACCCTGTGAGCCAGAAACAGCATTTTATGTGGCAAAGCCCTGTAAAAGTTAGGTTGTAAAGTTAGTCATGTCCTTCAATTGCTAGTTAATTCTAACTTCACTGTCAAGGAAACTGAAATTACACTTTGAACAGAATGTGGAGGAAAAACAGGTAAATTCTTGAAACCTTACTACAGAGAGTGGAAGGAATGCTAAAGGTACCAGAAATGCCTTGCGACCCACATGAGGAGTGTTCTGAAGGAGGACCATAAAGGCTATTGATGGCCTTAGGTGTCCACCTATCCAGGCACACAGCAGGGTCAGAAACAAAGTATACCCAGAGCTCTGACACAGAGCAGTACCTCCTTGCTGGTAGCAATCCTCAAGACTTAGTGCCTGGCACAGAGTGAGCACCCATACATCTTTGTAAAATACTTATGAAATTGTTGATGCCTTATCTGATTCAGAGCAGATATGGCGATTACAGGGTATATCCTATTCCCAAAACACAGTCTTGCTAGGAAGGGAGCTGAGTCTAAAAAACAATGTGTGGAGAGACAAACAGAAAGAAGGGAAGTGCCATCAGTGAAGTAATTTACTTCACACCACCTGGCCAGATGGAGAAGACAGTTGGAAAGCTCCCAAAAGTACAAACTAGCGTTTGCACACAGTTCCCCCCAGTGGACTCGCATTTTGAAAAATCACAGGCAGAGATTTAAAAAATAAGCATGTTACCTACAATAAATGCAGAAAAATGGCTCCAACTTTAAGAAGAATGTCAGGAGATCTGATTGCCCAGGATAAATTTTTTATTACCAAAAAGTAGTAGTAGTAATAATAACAACAATACTGCAGGCTGCTCCTAAAGAAGAGGCCCTTTTAAAACAGGATCTGGGCAAAAAGAAGATTAAGATAAGGCCACTGTTTAGTGCAATGTTGAAGAATGGTTCAAAGTTGTGTCCTTCAATTGCTATTTAATTTTGACTTCACTGTCAAGAAAACTGTTCTCCATATTGAAAAGGGTGCAACAAAATTAGGCAGGAAATAGCAGAAAGCAAAACTTGGTGAAAAGATCAGAAGACACTGCTGTGTTCTGACCTAGATAAAATGCACCCCAGAATATAGACAGAGAGAGAATAGCTTCATCATGTTTAAGGAATTGTGAAAATTTTGGGAAATTAGTCTGTAACCAATCGGGGGCAAATATTAAGAGCAAAGTGACCACAAGAAGCCAGCATGGAATCAATAAGAACAAAGCAAGTAATACTGACTTTTAGGTCACTTTTTTTTTCTTTTAAGTCCTCACTCGAGGACATTTTTCCATTGATTTTTAGAGAAAATGGAATAGAGAGGGAAAGACACAGGGAAATATCAATATGAAAGAAACACATTGATTGGTTGTCTCCTGCACGAGCCCCTACCAGGGCCTGGGCCAGGGAGGAGCCTGCAACCAAGGTACGTGCCCTTGACCAGAATCGAACCTTGGGACCCTTCGGTCCACAGACTGATACTCTATCCAATTATACAATGTGTTTCATTTTCAAAGCCTTCCTGATGTTCCTGTGGGCAAGATAGAGAAATATCAGGTGGCTGCCAATGTAAGATGATGCAGTGATAACTGTTGAATAACCACTGGAGATACTATTTAAGGATCAGAGTCAACCTAGTTTCCAGCAGAGAGCCACACATATTTTATCATAGACTTGAGTAGAGATGTAGGAGGAAAATTTGTGTTTGTAGATGATCCGAAGCTGCTGAGTGATGGGAATAATGTAATCAGATTCTAAAAGATCTTGACAAACAGGAATGTGGGACCAGAACTAGTTAAATAAAAGATAATGGTAATTTATATTAGACACTGCTCTTAGGTCCACAAAAACAAAGGGGTGAAGTGCAAGGTAGGGAAGCCCTGTTTGTTGTAGATGTTAGTCAACTATAAGCGCAATAAGTCAATGACATTACTGATGTTAGTGCCAGAAGAGTTAATATAGCCAAATATAATTAAAAGATTCCATAAAGAGGGAGTAATCCTATTCTAGCCTGCACAGTTGTTCTCTCCAAGAGCTGTCACACTGTGTGAGGCCTAGAAGCAGACTGGTGGGACTTGGAGGAGAGAGTGGTGTTAGACCAGGAAACTATACCATACAAAGACCTGTTGAAGCAAAGGAGATGTTAAGTCTGGAAGGCACACATCTCTGGGACAGTGTAACTGTCTTACAAGTACCTGATGATCAGCCATACAAAACCGAGACCTGACTTCTCCATCTGCATTGAAGGCCTAGCGTAAGACTGGCTTTGGGAAATACGTTAAGAAATTCTTCCTAACAGTGAGAGCCATGCCACAGGGGAATGAGTTGGAGAGTTCTTGATCTTTAGAGGCAATGGCTTGGTCTTTAGAGGCAAGTTCTGGGTCCATCTCAGGCTATGACTTGCACATATGTAGAGGCGTCCAAGCACCACAGACCAGGTCAAAGCCTGAGGCTCCTGCAAGCAGATGGTGCAGTTAGCCTTTCCTTTTTCTTCATGGGCCTGCTCCCCTCCACTATTAAGCATGGAACGTAGGCTGTGTGCATGAACATGTGTGCAAACATATGTTTAGGAGTAGGAAGAGGAGGAGATGAGGATGGGGAGGCAAAAGGATTGAGAATTACAAAATTCCAGAAGACATAAAGTCAGCATCACCAAGAACTTACAGAAGTTCTCAAAAAACTACAGCAGCCTCCTGTGTTTCCCAGTCAGCCCCCATTGTGCACCCTTGGGGAGCAAGAAGACAA